AGAGTGTGATCAATTCCCAAGTATCATTCTTCTCTATGGATTCTATTTGAAGGTCCATTTCTCTTCTCCATACCTCAAATTAGACGACTTCCTCATAGTTAGTAGGGTCTTCATTTGAACTAAAAACTTGTAGATTATGCAACTAATCTTACTCTCTATTTTTTAAACCAGTGACAAGTCATTAAGATATTTTAGAGGTCTTCTAATTCTCTGAGTTGGCTCATCAGATTCATCATTGTTTTCTTGACTTATGTTCCCTACTTCTCCATCCTTTCATTAATTTGCATGGCCATCAATAAGGTCTTCAATTATATTTTTTGCTACATGTGGATTTTCTTATGGTTTAGCTTCACTTTCATCATCTACTTGGACTTGTGATTCTTCGAGACTTGTTTGATTTTTCTTATTACAATCCTAACATTTTACTTCATTAAACACAAAACAACTACTAATAATAACTCTTCCTTTAACTAATTCATACAGCTCATAGGCTTTGATTATTCACCAACTCTAAGAATCACACATCACACACTTTTTCCATCCATTTTATTTCTTTGTGAGTTAGGAACATGAGCATGAGCCACACAGCCAAACACTCTGAAGTGATGTATCCATGGATTTACTACACTCCATGCTTCTATAGGGGTCATGTTCATGACTACAAGGGTAGAACTTCTATTCATGACATATGTGGCACATCTCAATACATCATGCCATAAATGTTTTGGAACATTTATACATGATAGAATACTTCTAACAATATTCATGAGCGCCATATTCTTCCTTTCAAATGCTCCATTTTGATATGGAGTATATGCAATGGTCACTTCCTTTTTATCCCTTGCAAGCTATGAAATATATTGAAATCATTTGATGTAAATTCTTCTCCTCTATCATTTTTTAGACAATGAATCAAACAACTAGACTCTCTTTCAACCAACACCTTGAATCTTTTGAAAGCATCAAATGCACTAGAATTTTCTTTCAAAAACATATCCAAGTTTTCTTACTAAAATCATTTGTAAAGGTGATGAAATACTTTTTTCTTCCAAGTAACTCAGTTTTGATTGGCCACTAATATCATAGTAGACAAGCTCTACTTTTACACTAGATCTCCAAGTTACTTGTTTAGGAATGGTATATCTGTGTTACTTCCCTACCAAGAAACTAGTGAATATTTCTTCTGTGTTCACCAGGATTGGCAAACCCCTCACTGTTTCCTTCTTCATAAGTGTGTCTAAACCATTGATGCTTAGATGCGCATATCTGATATGCCACAATTGAGATTTCAATTGCTTAGTTGTCTAAAATCACATTGGCATGATGACCGGTGCATGAATCATATACATCCTATTTTGAGACATTTGAGTAATTAAGATCAAACCTTTCACTTCATGAAATATATGGCAAGAATCATGCTTGAACATAATACTTAACTTCTTCTACTGAAGTTGTCCAGTGTCGGGGATATTATTTCTCAAACCATGTAGGTAGTATACTTCAGTAATCACGTGTGCCTTACTGTCAATGCTTAGCTTCACATTCCTTTTCCCGATGATAGATATTTTTGAATTATCTCCTAATTTGACAGTTTCCCTAAAACTTCTATCAAATTTAAAGAACCAAGCTTTAACTTCAACCGTATAATTATTGCATCCAGAGTCAAGATAACATATTTCCTAAAAACAACTTCTTGACTCACTTTTGGCCATCAAAATAATTATCCTTATCCATTGAATTCAACATATTTGGTATTTTATTCCCAGCTAGGACATTCACTTTGATAGTGACCTAGCTTATGGAATTTGTAGCATTCTAGAGATTCTCAACATTGTCTTCCAATATTAGCCACTTTCATGACCTGTTCTTCAGTGAAATCTCTTTGACCATTCATTATTTGCTCATGTTCAAGTAAGCTACTTTGCATCTCATAAATGGAAGGATTTGTCACATCATTGGACTCTTCAATGGAGCACACAACATAGTTGAATCTTGTTGACATCGATCTCACAATCTCCTCAACAACTAATACTTGCTCCAATTTTTCTCCATTTGTAGTCATTTGATTAGCAATGGCAAGTGTTCATGCAACATACTCATCAATTGTTTCGTTATCTCCCATTGCAAGAACTTCAAATTCTCGTCACAAAGTCTGTAGGCGTACTCTTTTGACCTTCTAAGATCCATGATATTTGTGACGCATAGTATCTCAAATTATGGATCTATGTGCTTGCAGGTATCATAATTAATCAAAGAAAGTATACATTATAACTTTTAGAAGATTATTGCCAACTTGCACCCAAGCCTATTAAAACTATCTATGACCCCTCTCTTAAAATTAATTGTATGGATTCTCTATTATTTGAGGATGCATCACAATGTAGGAGGCTTACAGAAAGGTTGCTTTATTCAACTACTACTAGACCAGATATAACCTTTGGAGTACAACAACTAAGCCAATATTTTTCAAAACCTAGAGTTGTGCACTACAAAGTTATTATAAATGTCTTGTAATATTTAAAATCTTCCATGTGAAAGGCCTTTTTATTCTTGTTCCACTGATATGTCTGACTTTGTCGATTTCAATTGGGCAACATGCTATGTGACCAGGAAGTCTGTCGCTGGTTTTGTTGTGTTCTTAGGGTCATTCTCATTTCCTAGAAATCCAGAAAGTAGACAATAGTTTTAAGAAGCCGTTATGAAGTAGAATATAGGACATTGGTCAGCCTTACTTGTGAAATTCAATGACTACATTACTTCTTCAAGGACCTTTGTATCTCTTTTTCTCAATCAACTTCCATGTATTTTTACAATAATTCACCCATCTCCCTAGCATGCAATCCAAGTTTCAAAGAAATATCAAAACACATAACATTTACTGTCACGTCATTCGTGAAAAGATTGATGGTGACCTTATTAAGATGTTTTTCTTATCTGCACATCTTATTAAATAACATATTTCTTGACTAAACCCGTATTCAAATCTATCTTTGAGACTCATCTTTACAAGCTTAGACTTCTTGACCATGATAGTCCATTTTATGGGAGTGTATTACATATAGATGCTTTAGATAAATTAATTGTCTTTGACCAATTAGTTTCTAGCTAATTTTTTAGTTACTATTAGAGCTAATTTTCTGTATTACAAAATTGTGTTACAATTTACTATTCTTGCCTTCCTTAAATATATTATATATATTATAGTAATTAGGTTCTCTTTATGCCTATATAGTAATCCTTCTCTTCTGTTGAGTAAGAGAACAATTTACTTTGTAAAATTTATTACTACCAATATTATTCATAATGCATTTCTAGAATTTCTCTTTCCTATTATTAAATACTTTGTAATTAACGAGAATTTCAAAATTTCCATGAGTTTTTATTGGAAATTTTAAAATTATATACTGTTTGAAAAATTAATATTAGAAATTTTAAATTTTCATAGAATTTTTATCGGAAATTTTAAAACTATATCGAGAATTTTGAAAAAAATACTGGAAATTTCAAAATTTTCGATAAAAGCTTATTAAAATTTTATCAGCAATTTTAAAATGTGTGCGTTTTTAATAGAAATTTTCAATAAAAACTCTTGTATTTTTTACCAAAATTTTCGAAATGCATGTTTTAAGATATTTTGAATAAACTAACAGAAATTTTGTTCGATCATTTTGTTATTTTTTATCAAGGACATTTTTGGCTTTATAAAAATATTGAGGGTGTCAAATTTAAAATTTGAGGTGGCTGATTAAATCCTTACACTCGTAGTTTATTGATATTGCTTGCAAGTCCAATTAAAAAATATTTTTTTTAAGAGTCTATAGTAATTCTAACTAGGTTAATGAATATATTTTAGTCCTTATTTGGTATCTTGGAACTCCAAAACGCAATTCTTTGTGGCACGATCCAATGTTTAAGTAGAATATGGGACATTAACTCATACAACTTTTAAGTTAGTGTGACTTGAATCTATTACTGAATTAAATATTGCTGATTTTCCTTGTACTTTATTATGTAATAATCTTAGTGTAGTGTTATTATCTCATAATTTGGTGTTACAAGCTCGAACAAAGCACATTAAATTAGATATCTAATTTGTTCTTAAAAGGGTGGTGTCAAATAAACTAAGAACTTAACATGATCTTTCATCAACACAAATTTTAGATACTTTGATGAAGCCTCTACCAAAAGATGTCTTTCAAGAATTGAAAACTAAACTAAAACTTGTTGATCTCAAACTATGTTGATCTAGTATTAGTGTTAAATATTTTGTATTAACCAAGTTGTCAAAAATAGACTATTAAGTCTTCAAAAAAGGTTTATTATATTAGACATATGAATTAATTATCTCAATAAAAGTTTGTCAGAATCTCTAAACGCGTCATCAACTCTATAAATAAAACATTTATAATTTATTGACATTTTAAGAATTAATTCAAGAGAATTCACAATATGCACTTGTCATTCTCCATTAATTTACAATATAAAAAACTAATTGATGTATTATCAATTAAATCCTTTAATATTTTAATTAAAATGAGTTAAGTATTTGTGCATAGAGTACAGTGTCACTCACGACATTAAGAACAACACTCACTAAATATTATTAGGCTTTATATTAATGCCTTGCCTCGTGCTCATGTGATACCATTTCTTTGATTACTTGATTGTCACTCCATATATTATTGAAATATGAAAAGTTAATATTCACCTTCATTTGGCCATTTCATAGAGACCTATAGTCACGTTATTGTGTGAGTTGGTTTATACCCTGCTTTTCTTGCACCCATATCAAAAGAATCCAACAAGTAGAAAGAAAGAAAAAAAAGGCACTAAAGTAATATTAAAGTTTATTTTACTCATTTTGTATAAAACAAGGTTTTCCCACCATTGTGTTGATATATATTTGATTGCACATCTACATCTTTTCCTCTCTTTCTTAGCTAAGCACTTGGCAAAGAAAATTACACTAGAAAGAAACAAAGAATTTAGTTCTACTAGAAATGGCTAGACAAGTAACCATTTTTCTATGTCTTTTGATTGTTGTCATGGATGTCACAGCTGGAATTCTTGGAATTGAGGCTGAAATTGCTCAAAACAAGGTATGTTTGAATCAAACTAATCGATAATGTGCGAAGTTTTTTTCTCGAGACACGGTTTTTGTTGCGATATAATAATATATTTAGATGTACTAATTTTTTTACACATGCAGGTTAAACACTTGAGACTGTGGATATTTGAGTGTAGAGATCCAAGCCATAAGGCTTTCATGCTTGGGTTAGGTGCAGCAATACTTTTGTCTCTAGCCCATGTTATAGCCAATTTGCTAGGTGGTTGCAATTGTTTTTGTTCTCAAGAGCTTCAAAAGAATTCTCCCAATAGACAACTCTCAATGGCTTGCCTCATTTTAACATGGTAACATGTCCCTAATTCCACTACTTGTTTTATCGAACTGGACGATTTAACTGGTTGAACCGGAAGCAGAAAAATTGAACTGTCGCCAGTTCGATGTTTGGTTTAGTTTTTGAAAGAATGGTAACTCTAAAACATTATGAAGAGTTCAACAAATCTATAAATAACATTTGTTTTAATTGTGTTGTTGATTAGGATTGTTTTGGCTGTTGGATTGAGCATGCTTGTGATAGGGACTGCAACAAACAACAAATCAAGGGGTTCTTGTGGTTTCACACACCATCATTTCCTATCAATTGGTGGAATTTTGTGTTTTGTTCATGGCTTATTCTGTGTTGCTTATTACGTTTCTGCCACTGCCTCTTAATTAACGATTAAGAAAACACCTAGAGTGGAGGCCACTTTTGCTCTTGCTTTTGTGCTTTTGAGGTTTTGGCTTTACCAAATTTGTTGCTTTACTAAATATTATGTACTATGGGGTAGAAAAAGAAAATCCCATTTTCAATTGATCATCAAATTATCCTCTCCACTAATCCACTGACACGTGTTCGATATTTTCTTCTTTGTTTCAAAGCCATTGGCCAATGAAAGATCTTCTGTTACCAGAGATTGTAATGGTATTCTGAAATAGGCTGCATAAAGCTAAATATATCTTTCTACTTTCTTTAAGCCCTTATTTTGTTTTTCTTTTAACACTATGATGGACTATTTTAATTTACAACAAAAGCTTAATCTTGCACCATAAGTTAAACCTCTCTCCAACATTGTTATGTTTTGGTAATGTTAAAAGTTGGATTATTAACTAGTTGTAGATATCTCACTAACATTGATCACCAATAGTTTAAAAAATAGCATTTCCTTGAGTAACAAGTAACAACTCATAAGTCATGACATCTATCATATATCCTTCCGAAGTAAACGAAGGTATCAAGATTGTTCCCTAAAAAGTAAAAACTAATGATTAAATAGAGAGGAATGTCGGAGTGAAAAAAAAACTACCTCAACTACTGTCATGCATTCCATTGACTTCATGATTTCGCCATTAACTTGGATCCAAAACAAAACCGATCAAATTAATGGATGAGAAAAGAAACAACAAAAATCAATCTCTTCCCGTCGTAAGTCCTAACAACCCCTTTTTTGGGTTGATGATAGAACCTCCCTTGTTGTTCGCATTTTGATGAGGAACACCATATAGTTGACATTCAGTAATCTACATTGCTCACAACTAGTCACAATGACAGAGTACACGTCCCTTCCGTAGCATTATAGGACATACATTTCGGCAAAGTTTGGGACCAGCCCTCTAATTCACCTTTACTTTAAAGGCAGTAAAATCTGCCATGTGATGAAGTAGAGAACGCATTGACAAGTCAAACTCACTTGCATAACTTCATATCAAAGCTACGTTGGTAACATCTCATGATCATCATCATCGGAGGAGGACGAGGAAGAACTGGAGTCATGCATTCTCCTCTCTGCTATGGCTGGAAATAGTCTCCTATGCATATCAGAGAGTGATTGTTGATGAATATCTGGAGAGGACGAAGGAGCCTCTTTCTTGCTAGAAGGAGAATCTTTGGCAGCTACTGTCTTCATTGTTGATGCTTTTACCTCATTGCACACCTTGTCCAACATTACCAAGAAATCACGTACAACCACAAACAAACGCAACCCTTCATCTCTTCCGGCATTCCCATGAAAATAATCTGCAGTACTCTTAACCCCGGTCGTTATCCTCTTCTCTTCCCCTATCAACCATACCACTTCCTCTCTTGCCTTCTCCAAAAAATTTGCAAGGGAATGTTGAAACTCGCTATCTTCTTCTAGATTCTTCAGACCCGTATTCAACAGTTCTTCAGATTTTACCAATGTATTATAAAGTTTCAACACTGCAGATGTTAGAGCATCACCATCTATCACCGCTGCCTTTTTCACATCTTCTAATTCAGTAATTAGACCTGAAACAACTTGAAGGCCAAGGCCGCGATAGTGCTCTTCTGATTCCCCATTTGATTCAGTGATGAAATCCTCAGTTTTCATACTAGAATGGCTTTGGCTTGCCTTTTCCGTTCTTACAGCTCTTATGCCTTCTGAACGAATGATCTCATGAACCACAAAGTGTAACAGTGTGGTATTACCGTCTGTTCCTTTTACATCCGCGAGTTTCAAAAGTGTGTCGAGCCTAAATGCTTGAGCATCACCACGATAGGTTCCAGTGTTCAATCGGTTTCCAGTCTTTAGAACTGCTTCTAATAGCTTTTGGAAAAGCCTGCTTTTCCTTAGTTTGTTGCAAGAAACCTGCCATTAAGAATCAGATACAACAACAGCAAACAAGTTATGCTATTCATTTGTTCTATTTTTCAAGATAACCAACCACTAATAATATGTCTTGAATGCATAAATATGCCTTGGATGCATAAATATAAGTGGAAGATAGGTAAAAGGTAGAAATCGAACTGTCGAAGTGAAAATTTTAAACCACTGTGGCAACATGGTTTTTGACGCTGTGGTCAAAATGTGACTAGTGTGTAGTAAACCTTTTTATAAAACTCGGACCTATTTTGACACAAGATAATCTAATAACTTACGCACAAATAATTATGTTTCCCATTATATTTTTTTGTGCTCTCTCTCATGATATAGAAGAACCCAAATTCATTTCTCTTCTACTCTTTTCACTTTTACTCATAACCAAGAACTGTACTATAACTATATATGAATTGTATAACATTGAAAATAGATTGGTATTTCAAAAAATAAAAGAAAGAAAGAAAAGTCAATGAATCCAATTCTCACATCTAATATTGTAAAGCATTCCTTAATGCTTGAAGCCTCATCCGGAAGTGTAAACATGAACAGTAGTGACTCGAGACGTTTGAAAGCCAATGGAATATCAACCAAGGCCTTGAGAAACTTCTCTGCAGGGCCAAGTCGGGAAATGTCTCCCGTGAATAACCTTAGCTTCAATTCCTCATCTGTTGTTGGCGCCATCTTCAATACTGTTTGGATGAGCTCAACAGGAATCTCATTACCTGATTGAATCAACATATTGCAAGTAAATCACATTGATGTAGTTATATTCCAATGTTAATCTAAGAGAAATGCTGAAAACAAATATCGCCTTTGATTTTTGAATGCGAAAAATGTATGAAGCAGAATAATAATTGAAAGACTCTTAAAAACGCCTTTATCATTCTAAGTGCAATCTATGAAAAAGCTCCAATCCATTCACCAGATAATTACCAGGGTAAGAGTTTATCATGTTCTTGATACAGATAAAAAAAAAAAGAACAAATGACTATTTCTGGATATCATAAATGTACAAATGTCAAATGAACAGCATATATTGTTAAGTTAAACCTTATTGATTACTGTCAAACTTTAAATAAGAGCTTTCTTAGTGTGAGGCTGTTCTATGAAATTGGAACATAATATCTTATCATAAACATGTTGTATAAAAGAGAGAAAAAATCATGAAATAGGTAGGTATAAGCTTTGAAAAAGAAAAAACTATACACTTTGAGAAAATATTTGCTTCATTGGAGTTAAAGCATCAATGTTGATCACATTTCTTTTATGATAGTTTAAAGTAGCAAGTGCTTCATTCTAATCGCGTGAGAAGCAAAAACACACACGCACACAGAGACTCACCTTCTTTAAGGGCGTCAATAACTTCTTTTGTGCTCACATTCAAAGCACGTAAAAGAATTGATAAATTCTGTGCTTTCTTAGGGTCAATAATCTGAATGTACTGGACAGAAGGATCTAAAGATGGAGAATCTTTTTTTCTGTTCTGGTTTGCGCAGCCAAATAAAGACTCTATCTTTTCTTCACTGAACCTGGTAAGATGTTATAAAGTTCGGCAATCATATTGATAAATTTTACAATCCTTCATGAAAAAATGATTTTAAAAGGACTTAAATGTTTCTTACTGGAATGACCCTGATCTGATCTCATGCCAGACCATGGCTTGATCAGGATTTGCTGCAACCTTATCCCAGAAAAATGGCTTTAATTTCGGTTTTGGGGTATCAGACTCTTCATCATCCTTAGTACCAAGTGGTCCTAGAGGTGATTTAAGGTTTCGACCTTCCAATGGTTTGGGAGGAGCAGGTGGAGCCCGAGCCATTTTTGGAGGAGGTGGAGGGCAAGGTGCAAGAGCAGGTGGTGGAGGCGGCGGCGGTGAAGCCTCAGGGGCTGATCTTCCTGGAAGATGTTTTATTGGAGATACTGGTACTTGTCCTATGTTATCTGATGATGTTATCTCAGCCAGTGAGGCATTGTTGACTTCATGCTTATTGGACGAGTTCCTAACAGTAGAAGGATTCATTCCGTAGTTAATACCATATTCTTTCATATCATTATTTTCGAAACTCATAGACTTTTGTGAACTACCTGAAATACAAAAGAAACATTTATTGAATAAAACTTGTAAACTTTGATGTTTCACTACCATTATAGGTTAGGTTAGAATAGAAAACCAAACATCAAGACATACCACCAGACATCTCACTTGAGCTTAATATGAGTAAAGGCCTGACATCTTTGTCAACTTTTTTTCTCTTCCTCATCTCGCGGAAACATAAGAACAAGCCGATTAAGATTATAATTCCTGAAGCAACTGCAGCAATGATAATTTCTTTCTGATCAAACGCAGCAAGAGCAGGAGGAGGAGGAGGAGTAGGGGGAGGAGGAGAAGGAGGAGGAGGAGGACGTGGTGGTAAAAATGGCACAAACACGTTCGGAGGGAGTGTGAAATCATGATACGAAAGCTCAGGAGTTGGAGGTGAAGAAGTAGTTTGTGCTGCAACATGACTTTTCAGTTTTGGTGATGATCCAGATGACGGAACGGAATCAGGGCTCGGTGGTGTCTGGTTATGCGGTGATTCTGAAAGTAAATATCTATGTCCATCTGCTAAACCAAAGAGTGACTCATAATGCTTCTTCAAGAAATGTCCTTCCTGTTCCGAAACAGGAATAGGATAATTTCTGTTTCTTAAGCAATCCAAAAAGTCTTGTTTCATACAGGGAGGTAGATATTTCGATCTCTTTCTCCTCGTCTCATCTAATAAATGCAAGTCAAATTCTTTGATGCCATAACTCTTCTCTATCATTTCTTTTCTACAATGTCTCCACACCTGCTCTGCCTGCGTCACCAGATCATCGAACAAACACAATTCATCATATAACAAAATAATAACAAAACCAACATAATCGGACTAATTCAACATTTGATTAACTAAATCTTGTACTTAGCTACACATATTTTCATTATATCAAGATGCTCAACAACTCCAGTAAATTGCTTGGAGTGCAAGATAACGGTAAATTATAGTAGACTTGACAAAATTCACACTAAACTCAACCTAGACATGCAAATTCGTTATGGAAAGTTTGAGATTCGATTACTCGGAAACCACGTATCACATAATATGTATGTAATTGTTGTAAATCCTACAAGAGTAATACCCAAGATTTTAGAAAAAGTCCGCGACCGCGAAAACGGCCGCGACATGCCGATACCGAGACTATTATTCACTAATTTTACGTCAAAGAACTAATTGTCGTTAATTTACACCGCGACGACCGTAATCAAGGTCACAACACCAATACAGACCGAAATCGCAAAAGCCTGTCTACTGGCCGCAACACCTGTACCTACCAAAATCATGAAACCCTTTACGCGAGCGACATTAAAAACCTTGAATACCTATAACTCAAATTTGCTAAATTCTTATGAGTCTATTCAATAATATACATTGATAATATAATCAAAATTACTAATAAATCATAAAGAATCAAATGAAATTAAGAGAGATAAACCAAAACTTATGAGATACCTTTTCTCCACGATGATCGGCATGAAAATCTTCATGTTTCCATCTCTTTCCCTCTGAACCCCCATTGGCCATAGCGCAAATAAGAAAGACATAAACAACAACATAAGCAGGTTTTGTCATTTCCCTTCAACAAAAATGCATAATCTACTTTTCATCTCATTGAACTTCAATTTTCCTTGTAACTACTAATAAGACGTGAATGCATGCACCTTCAGGTTTGAAATTATAATTGTTGCAACAAAATTCGCAGCAAGGGATGAATTATTGTTGATGAAAAATGATGATATGGGAATGTAGGTTATACCAGAAACCGAAGTATGATGAAAATGGTGAATTTGTTGAGCGTTTTATGAGGTTTGGTTGAGGAATGTAGGTTTTTGTTTTTGTTGATGTAACAAAATAGATGAATGAGGTTGAGGTTGAGGTTGAAGAAGTTGTGTATTGTTATTGTTGTTGTTGTTTAAGGGAAAAGGGAGTCAGAGAGAGAGAGAGAGACGTGGGGAGAATGATGTGGGAAGATGGTATACCCGCGCGATTAACAACATATCATGGCTAAATATCTTTTCTTTTTGGGTCAAAAAGATAGATATAATATTTTTGGTGAATTCTTATTTACCTTTATTTTATTATAGATATAATTTTATTTAATGGCTAAATATCTTTTTTTTCCTATATCTCTGCCTTAGCCTATATTTTAGTCTCTCAATTTGAAAAAAAAAATTAGTTTCATCCTTTATCTTTTTAAAATGTGCTCACTTAATTCATTTCCGTCCATTTGTCTTAAACAATGTTAATATGTGCAGTTGTGGCAGCTATTGGTCATCTTCTTCATGTTATTTTTTTTTTTTTTTTTGGAAATTGTCTTTTTTTTTGTTGCAGAATATATAGAACCATAAAATGAAATAGGGTTAAACCTTCAATTCTCTTTCATCTTTGTTCTTTGAAATCGTGATCTCCATCAATCATGAGTTATACTCGTTGTTCATCCGGTTGGAAATCCACCAAAGTCTATGATGAATTTCTACCACAATGACAATTTAATTATGAGACAAACAAAGAAAAGAAGACAAGACAAATAATTTCTGCAGAGTTTCTCTCTGCTCACAAACTGTGAAAACTTTCTTATTCACTTTGCAACTGCAAAATACTGTGAATGACTTGCTTACAAAAAATAGGGGTTACTCCCTCTATTTATAACTGAGCTTACACCCTAAGCCCAAAGCCCAAAATATATTTTTGTTACTAAATCAAATCTAATTTATTCTAGACTTAAATCAAATTTATTTAAACCTAAAACAAATCAAATTTTTTCGACACATAGTTTCGACACATTTGATTAAATTTAACACACCACCTAATTCATTGTGTCTAAACTATCTATGTTCATCATGGCTCTTAGCTTTCTAAATACTTCGACTTGCACTCCCTTCGTCATGATGTCTGCAATCTGATTCTCAGTTCTGTAGTGTTCTAAATTCATCTTCTCATCTGCTACCTGTTCTCGAAGATAATGAAACCTCATTTCGATGTGCTTACTTCAACCATGTGTTATTGGGTTCTTCGCCGGATTAATAGTTGACATGCTGTCTACCTTCATGGTAATTGCTCCATAATTTTTCCCTGTTATCTCTTCGACCAAGTTCACCATCCAAGTTGCTAAACATGCACAAAGAGAAGCAGCTATGTATTCTGTTTCGCATGATGATAATACCACTACTGGTTCCTTTCTTGAATTCCAAGCAACTGGTGCACCACCTAGCATAAACACATATCATGTTGTTGACTTTCGATCTTCAGTATCACTACACCAACTCGAATCAGTGTATCCCACTAACTTGCATTCTTTTCCTTTATCAACTGCAGGAAACAAAATGCCATAATCGAAAGTTCCTTTGAGATACCTTAGTATCCTTTTCACTACTGCTAGATGTGATACCTTTGGCTTCTGCATGAATCTACTTACCATACATACATTACATGCTAAGTCAAGCCTTGTATGACAAAGGTATCTCAATGATCCAATAAGTCTTATGTATTGGGTTGGATCAACATCATCTTCATCTGCATCTTTCGACGGTTGCAGTCTTGGTTCTACAGGTGTCGAAGTTGAGTTGCATTCTTCCATCTCAAACCTCTTGAGAATTTCTCCTGCATATCTTCTTTGATACATCATCAAACCTCTACTGCTCTTGTAGAATTCGATACCAAGGAAATATGAAATCTCACCCAAATTAGACATTTTGAATTCTTTGCTGAGATCACCTTTGAAGTCTTCAATCTCACTTTTACAGCTACCTATTATCAACAAATCATCTACATAGAGACATAGTATAAGCAATTTACTCTTGCTTCTTCTTACATATACTCCATGTTCAGTTGTGCACTTCACAAATTCCTTCTCCCTTAGAAAACTATCAATTTTCTTATTCCAAGCCCTTGGAGCTTGTTTCAATCCATATAGGGCTTTATGTAGCCTGTACACCTTTCTTTCTTCGTCATGTTTCACAAACCCAACTGGTTGTTTAACATGGACTTCTTCATCTAAGGGTCCATTTAGGAATGCACACTTCACTTCCATCTGACATATGTGCCAACTGTTTATTTCTTCTAGACCAACAGCCAACCTGATTGTTTTGATCCTAGCAACAGGTGTAAAAACTTCATCGAAGTCTATTCCTTCTTTCTGTAGAAATCCTTTCGCCACAAGTTTTGCTTTGTGTCGAGTTACTTCACCTTTCGAATTCGTTTTCACTTTGTATACCCACTTGACATCAATTGGCTTCTTGCCTTGAGGCAATTCGACAAGTGACCAAGTGTTGTTGTCTTCGATAGACTTTACTTCTTCGTTCATTACTTTCACCCACTTAGAATCCTTTAATGCTTCAGCTGCATTAATGGGTTCGACATCTGCATAGAAAGCATACTGTACCATCTCACCTTCATTATCTATTACATCATCTGATGTAATCACACAATCTTGCAGGCATGCGTCTTGTTCTTTGAGGCCTGCTTGTACTTGGTATATCTGCCGGTTCCTCTTGTCAAACTTCTTTTTCGACTTGAGTTTCTGGCTCTTCAAGAAGGATTCCCACTGAATATTTCTTGATATTTTCAGTCCAATCTCATTCTTTAAACTCATCTATGATCACGCCCCTGCTGATCACAATCTGCTTTTTCACTGGATCGAATAACTTGTAGCCTTCTGTCGAATGATATCCAACTAGAATCATTTGACTTGACTTATCATCAAGTTTTCTTCTCAACTGATCTGGAACATGTCTATGTGCAATAGATCCAAATACCTTTAGATGACTCAAGCTAGGCTTCACACCAGACCAACATTCTTCTGGAGTAATTCCTTCTAGCTTCTTTGTAGGACATCTGTTCAAAATGTATGTTGCAGTCGAAACAGCTTCACCCCAAAACTCTTTAGGTAAATTCTTGCCTTTCAACATACTTCTCACCATATTCATGATGGTTCGATTTTTCCTTTCTGCAATTCCATTTTGTTGTGGAGTATAGGGTGGCACCACCTCATGCACAATCCCTTCCTTTTCACATAATCTGTTGAAGTCTTTCGACACATATTCTCCACCACCATCAGTTCTTAAAACTTTGAGCTTTCGATCACTTTGTCTTTCGACCATAGACTTAAACTTGGTAAATACTTCGATCACTTCACTTTTCTTCTTGATCAGGTAAGTCCATAGCTTTCGACTGAAATCATCTATGAATGTAACAAAGTATTTGTTACCTCCCATCGAATCCACTTGGATTGGTCCACATACATCAGAGTATATGACTTCAAGACTAGCCTTCGATCTGCTTCCTGCATCCTTGTTGAAGCTATTCTTGTGTTGCTTCGCCTGCACACATTCCTCACATACCTCGTTTGGAATGTCAATTCCTGGAAATCCTGAAACCATATTCCTTCTTTTCAAATCTCTGATGTCTCTGAAGTTGAGATGGCCTAGTCTATAATGCCATATCCATTCATCTCTGCTAGCTGCAGTCGAAAGGCACTTGTGCTCCATCACATTTAGTTCAATCTTGAAGGTTCGATTCTGAGACATAGGAGCCTTCAAGATTAATCTCCCATTTCCATCAACGACTCTCATCATCTTATCATCGATTGACACTTTATAGTTCTTTTCGACCAACTGTCCTATACTGAGCAAATTGCTCTTCATGCCTGGTATGTACAATACATTGGAAATTACTGACCTTTTTCCATCATTCCTCATAATCATAACATCACCAATACCTTCAGCTGCTAGGGTATTGTCATTTGCAAATTTTACCATATTTTTCATTGAGGGTTTTATATTGACGAACCAGTCTTTCCTTCCAGACATATATGATGAAAATCCTGAATCCAAGTACCATTGGTCCTTGAATCTATCTTCATCTCTTGTTGTGACTATCAGCACCATCTCTTCTTCTTCATGTTTTGCAAGCTTTGCATCACTTTCTTGATTCTTTTGTTTTTCTGGACAATCACTCGCATAGTGTCCATACTTCTGACAATTGTAACATTGAATGTGACTCTTATCAGGTTTTCGACCATCACCTCTTCCTCTATTTGCAACACCACCTCTTTGGTTGCCTTGGTATGGTCTTCTTTGATTCGACACGTTTCCTTCAATCTGGTTTCCTCTACCATTCGATTTGTTGTAGCCACCTCTACCTCTGTCGAAACACTTTCCTTTGCCTCTGGTCTCTTTTGTTGAATGTGCCTGCAAGGCCACATCACTCTTCGATTTTCCTACAGCTCTTTCTTCCATTCTTTGTTCATGAGATTCAAGAGTCCCTTGAAGCTCTTCCTTTGTCAATTTCGACAAGTCTTTCCCCTCTTCTATCTCCACCACTATGTGGTCGAACTTAGGAGCTAAAGATCTCAAGATCTTTGACACAACAACTCTTGTTGTTAACGCTTCTCCACATATCTTGATTTGATTTACTAGTTTTGTAACTCTAGTGAAGAAATCAGATATGCTTTCATTGTCTTCCATCTGAAGTAGTTCATAGGTCCTTTTGTGAGTTTGTAACCTCACTTCTTTCACTTTCTCAGCGCCTCCAAAAGACTTCTCAAGAATTTCCCAAGCTTCTTTTGTAGATTC